AGAGAGAGAGAGAGAGAGAGAGAGAGAGAGAGAGAGAGAGGGAGAGACAGAGACAGAGAGAGAGAGAGGGTGGGGAGTGGAGGAGGGGGGCGGGGGAGTGAAAAATTGATAATTTGACGTGGGATTTTTTTCTGAAGATATTCTCTTCCCCACCACGTCCCTATAAATCTATCCACTCCGCACATATTTTCTGTCTGATACCAATTTGACCAACATGATTTTATCAAGATTTATTACATAAATTCCACAAGTATAGTCGCTAAAGAAAAGAAATGACAAAACTAATATGATAATAGTATTTTCTTCTTGTTGCAACTGACCAGGTCTGCGTAACGCAAGGAGCAGACATTCTTAACAATTTGACCATTAAGTGTGCAGTGCAATCCACGCCACAGGGGACTCAATTTTCCAGCGATAAAACATTAATTAACGACCAGGTAACCTTATAGCTTGATTTAGCTTTGATGTTATTTTTTATCTCGGCAAAATCGTAAATTAATGCCTGGAAATGAGTTGAGGTATGGATTAAATATCATCTATCTATCTATCAATTTAATCTGCGTTTGTACAAATCTAAACGATTGTCTGTGTGTCCATCTATTTGTCTCACCATAACTTAATACGCATAAACACATGCCAAGCTACACGTCGATACTGTTGTCTATTTATCCACCGTCTGCTTATTTGCCAGATTGTTTAACCGCCTGTTGCTGCTGCTGCTGCTGCTGCTGCTGTTGTTGTTATTGTTGTTGTTGTTTTATTTTTCGAAGGTTCGGCTGTCCCACTCTGCCATTCTTATTTACAGAACAAAATCGCACACTATTACCGTAGGTGCAGGTAAAATTATTGTGAACTTTAGGAGAACGAATAGGCTAACAGGAACACAGTTGCTCTCTCGGAGTCATCTCGTGTGGTTTCTGTAATAGCAACTATCATCACAATCATAATTTTATAGGCTTGCTAATTATTTGTAATGCAATCGTCTCTCTTTGAGATGCTTCGCATTCCGAATGTGAACTTATATAACCTGCTGAAATCAAATCTTCCACTGGGGAAATGCTTTCTGTTGAAGATTTGAAGTAAAATGACGTGGTCCCATAACATCAAGTGAAGCAGTGTAATTTACAAGAGTAGACTAGTGATACGAACTAGATAATATACATTCTTTCGGGGCAATGGTAGCAGCTGCTTCAAATTTTTAACTCGCTTAGGCTAATTCATTGACAAGGACTATATTAATATCCTAAACCGTGCAGTGTTACGGCAGGCGTTCTTTTTTCCCTTTAAAAGCCTCGCGGCGTTGGTGCACAATAACGGGCGCTGAAAGAAGGACATAAAGAATTTATTGCATGAGTTGTTGTGTGAGATCATGATTTATACTACGAGTGAAATTGCTAATTATTTGTAATCATGAGTTTCAACGAGTGATTACAACTGGCAATTTCACAAGTAGGATAAATCATGGTCAAACACCACAACGAGTGAATAAATGAATTTTTATACCATACTGATATCAGGCGGCAAAATACATCTGTACCAACAGAGTTCAAATGACCAGTCTATTGGACAAGAGGATCCATTCTAGAGTCTCACAAGAAAACATTTTCATGCCCACCGAAGTCAGATTGAGAATTGGGAAAAATCTGGATTGTTTTTCTTCACTTTTAGCCACGTAAATTCACAAGTTGTGCTATCCGTATATCTCCTTCCGCGAAATAAACCCCAAGCAAAACAATCATAACGTAAATACATTGTTTAACCAAAGTAATCAAAAAACGAACTATTCCAAAGTTGAAAGAAACTGCATTAAAATAGCGTGTTGTTGTTAGAATAGAGATGACTTTGATTTTGATTTTAAAATTCGTAACCAAAACAAACCAAAATGCAAAGAGTTATTCTCTAGATCTAGATCTTCTAGATATTAGATCTATCGCATTGCATTACATTGGTCACAGATTTAAAAAAAAGGCTTTTAACTACAAAAGTTGTCAACTTATTTGGAAACTGATGTGCTGATTCCAAATACGTTGGTGCATGATGACAGGCGCCGTATCTAGTTTTTGTCTATTCGATTTCCGATATTCTTGTTTTCTTAAAAAGGGAGGTAAGAATATCAGAATAACAAGAAAGGTAACTATCTAAATAGTATCTATTATTATTTCCAAAAAAGGTAATTATAAAAGAATGTTATACTCGTACATTGTCTAATATTATATTTATCAATTACATATTGTTTTAAACTATAAACCTTCTTCATTTCTATCGTTGATGATTTATTATATGTTGTGATAGAATTAATGTAAACGAAAATTCGAAAGGCAATGCAAGTGACCTAAACAGTGGGTATTTTTTTGTTTGATAACGTGACCATCACATTTCAAAACATTGAAATTATTTGATAATTTAATTTAGTCTAGATGATGTAGGCCTAGACCTATATCTAGATCTAAGTGGCGCTATTTATTTATTTGTGTTGTAGATCTATCAATTTGAGTCTATC